GTCTTCTAACTCACCCACCACAAAGATGTATTTATTCATTTGTTCTGAAAAAAAAAAATCCTATTTTATTGATGTTCCTTCACTCTACAAATGTTGATTGAGCACCTACTGCCAAGCATTCATTACGTTAAGTACAGTGAATGAAGGAGGCTTAATTCTTCCCCTCAGAAAACTTGGAGACCCCACCAGTGGAGAGAGTGGGGCCTTTGATGGGAAAGACAGCACAAGTAACTTCTAAGCAGAAGTCTGGAAGGAGCAGGGGTTACCCCCATGAGGAGGAGGAAAGGAATGTGCAAAACCAAGGGGGTGCTACAGCAAAGCCTGGAAGCAACACTTTTAAGACATTCAAGACCCTAGACTATTGAGCAGAAGGGGGCCTAAAATGAGATCTAAAGGTAAACTGAGACCAGAGGCTCCAATGTCTTGTAAACCATGTTAAGGAGTTGGCGAACAATCTATGAACGGTGAGGAACACGGACAGGTTTTCTGTAGCTGGATTACCATGATGAAATTTGCTTTGAGGGATGAACTTTTTGGTTAAGAGCCTGGTTAAGTGGGTGTGTGGGGGGGTGGGATTACAATGGCAAGTGTGCTGGCCAAATCTAGGAAAGTGGCCCTTGAGCCCAAGAGAAACCAGGAGCAGGCAGTGGCGGTGACTCTCTTGACTTTCTTTGAAAGAGGTTTGCTGTGAGGCACACGGGGCTGAGGAGGCAGCTAGCTATCAAGGTCCGGAGCTCAGAACAGAGACCTGAGTTGGAAATAATTCAGGGAGGTTTCTTCGTATTATTTTCAGCACTAAACCAAAAGACAGCATGAAAGCTTGCATTTTTGTTCCTTTCTAAGCAAACATATTAGTTAGAACTACAAAGCTTCCTTGACTGATGATCCTTGTACACGTGAGTAAATAAGATTTGGCTCCAGATAGCATTTACCACTGGCACCTATTTCTTTCATCTCATGAGACACAATGTAATTGTAAGCATCAATCTAGACACCATCGACTTAGCAAAAAAAAAAAAAGTTTACTTTTTCCCTCTGGGGAAAAACTTAAGTTATTTTCCCTTTGTCCTGGTTGTGGGTGTCTTATCTGGCTTGCCAAGCTTCCTCATCAACCACATTTGTAAGAAACAGACAGGATTCTATCCCTGCTGTTTGTGGTGAAAGTATCCCCCCCTGGAAAAGTGTGTTCCTTTTTTTAAGCATGTAAATTCTTTACAAGCGTGTTATTTTTTAATGAGCTAACATAGACTTTTCTGTAGTCAACAGCTTCATCTGTGCCCTCTACTTTTAAAAGAGTAACACCACAAAGAATACAGAGAATAGGGTGGCTTCCCTTGTAAGTTTCACTAGGCTAAATTAAAAGCTCCCTTGCACTGCACTGCCCAGACACACGCTATTTGGGTATAACTTATCTTTCCTCTGCAGAGGGAATAAACATGCATTCCAGAGTATCATTAATGGACCTGGAGTGATGAGGAATAACTATTTTATGGTATTCTGTGGTGCAGGCTGTAGGATACATGACTTTATTAGATTCTTCTCTCATTCCAGGTCATAATATCAGCCACCTTACTGTGTTCTCCATTAAGACTATGAACTGATACAGCCCAGTGCCTATTTGAGATCTGATTACAGAATAAATAGGCTTTTTCTAAAGTACTTGAAGTTGTAATGTGGGTCTCTACAAAACTAATAGGCAAAGGTCTGCAGTGAAATTTTAAGAGAAGCCAAGCTCCTAGACAAAAACAAACAAACATGTTGCCGAAGAAAGGAGAGTGAAAATCTTGCTCATAAATTAGAGTAATTTCCCAGAACAAGCCATTCTTCTGGATTCCGTATAGGTATCCTTCAGCTGTTGGCAGTCTTGGTTTATTTACCCTTTGCTTCCTTTTATTTGCTTATTACCTACACATTAAAATGTTCCAGGAACATCTTGCTATTTATCTTCAGCGATTGTAACTCAATTCACTGCTTGAAGGATTTTTAACTCATTTATATTACATGAGATTCTGTCCAAATGGTAACAGTTATAAACAATATTAAAGTTGTAGAGATTTTTGACAAGGTTTTGAGAAATTGAAATGATAATAATGATTCTTTTCAGTTCTCATTCAACTACACTGAAAAGATAGAGAAGTACTCATGTCTAGCCACTTATTTTTATTTCATATCCTAAGAAACTAGGCAGTTAACAAGAATTGTTTCTTATAAAAACGATTGAAGTGTATTTTAAGCTTATATTAATCACTCTATACATTCGCCGTAATGATTACAATTGATTAATAGATCGATTTTCTAGTTGTCATCAGTGAAGCGTAGGAGGGAGAAGAATCACATAAATCTACCGATTTTCAACAAATTAATTTTAAGGAAATAAATATCTTTTCCGATGCTTCTATTGGTTGCTGTAGTAAAATTGAGAGGTTTAGGATTAAAACTTTTTTCCATTTCCCCTCTTTCTTTCTGCTGGAGGTAACAACATACCATCCAATAAGCAATTATGATAATACTGTTTGTATCAATTCACATAAATCATATTATTTATTGCATTGTCACATGTGCCAGACCCTCTCATCTTCTCTCTCTCTCCCCTTCTCTGCCACACACACCACACAGATACACCACACACACACAACCACAACCACACACGCCTATAAAGTATATATGTCAGACACATAGTTCATGTTATAATATAGTAACTATTATCATTACTCTTTACGCTGATTGACATAATTTTCAGAGTCCTACATAGGACTTTTTAAATTTTTCCTTATATGAACTACCCATTAAACTATAACATAAAAATTCCTGACACATTGTTGACAAAATGAGTCTAAACACACACATGTTTTGCATCAGTTTGTCTCTGATATGTAGCCATTTGGTGTTTAACAGTCATATTCCCTTACATGATTTAATCTGTCCCACTTCTATATATATCTGTGAGGAGGAGGGAAATCGGAAGATAGGAGGTGCTGTTATATAGATTCTCCCCCTCACTGCACTTATGGCTCTCTCCCATAACTCAGAAACTTAACTTGTACGATGATACGGTTTGCCAGCAATGTGAAGAGACAGAGATCACGTTGGATGCCAATGATCAAGCCTCCATAATAATGTTAAAAGCCTTTGAAAAAACATACAGATGTGCCTGGTTTGGCCATCTGGTCAGAATAAGCATTTTCAGAGTTCTGTCTTCACCTTTGCCCCCTACTTAGGTGTGAGAAATGTAAGGAATTTATTGGCATGTATTTGAGGCCTGCCTTGACTAAGGTTAATAACCTAACACCCTCATCTGTACACACACACTCACTTGCCCTAACACCGTCCAAGTTGAAAGGATGAGAAGGAGGTGAAGTATGCCCTGGGCAGATTTATCACCCTGTGAACCAAAATAGGCAAACAAAATTTCCAAGGTCGGTTTTGAATTATTCAAGAGTTCAGGGGAACTGCATGCCTCTTATTATGCCCCCCCCATATGGAAAAACAAAGAAAACATAATTTTCTAGTTTTAATAAAGGTAATTTATTTGGGTCAGAAAAATAAAGAATTTATGCTCAATTTAAACAGTGCGCAAAATGGATTGCCTTTGGTTGTAAGCCATGATTGTAGGGTTTTGCTTGATTTTTGTGTGTTTAGTAATTCAGTTAGATGCTCTGAGATATGATGGTCGTCTCTTTAAGGGTCTTGTGTTTGAAGAACATTGATGAGCTATATGACTCTTTGAGACTCAGTCCTTTTGAGTCTTATGAAACCAGACAGAGATGACTATAAAGTCTCAAGTCAAAGGGCTATTATTCTCAAATTAATTTATCTTTGTCAAGCTTTGGTTACAAACTCACAGTGGGTAAAAATATACCCTCTATATTATTTCTGCACTTTCTTATGGCCTATAAATATTTCAAAGTAAGTTTTTTTATAAGTCAGCCCACAAATTCTCTCTCAGTGTTCCTCCTTATTCAGCTAACTGCTACCCCTGTGACTTTTGGCAGCTGTCTCACCAGGGAAACTGTCCGTCACAGGAGGAGTCAGACAGAGTGACAATGATTGGATCAATTCATCACCAGTACCAGAGAAAAACAGAGTCTCCAAAGCATGTGTCCTACCTTCATGACTAAGTCCCATCGTTTTCATACATGTTTAAGACAAATCCCTTGGGGGCGCCTGGGTGGCTCAGTTGGTTAAGCGACTGTCTTTGGCTCAGGTCATGATCCTGGAGTCCCGGGATTGAGTCCCACATCGGGCTCCCTGCTCAGCGGGGAGTCTGCTTCTCCCTCTGACCCTCCCTCCTCTCATGTGCTCTCTCTCTCTCTCTCATTCTCTCTCTCAAATAAATAAAATCTTTAAAAAAAAAAAAAAGACAAATCCCTTGGTAGGAGCTTATTTCTCTAGTGGAACCTCAGTTGGTATTAGGCACCCCCAAAACTCTATAGGTAACCTACAGTCATGTCCGGGTCTCCCCAAAGTCTTCAGGACTGGCAATTATATACGTTTAGTCTAGTTATGCCAATAGGTGCTAACTCTGCAGTGGTTATTATAGACCTAATGACGCTGGATTAAGGCCAGATATAACGGATCAGAAGATGTTGTCATGCAAATAGTCTCCAGGTGACGAGACAATGAGCAGTCAGCCCAAACTTACTGCATTTCAGCCTGTGTGTTTTGTTTTCTTTGGGGGACTATTTTACCAACTAAACTGAACAGGAAGTACATTTAGAGCCGCTTATAATCCCACCGATGGGGGACAAAGTAACTCAAGCCTCAAGACGAGAATGTTCCATGAAGCACTTAACCATAAGTATTTTTGCTTTTCAGCAGAGACCTTTTGACCTGAAAACTATATAAATCTACAGATTAAAGGGATGTTATCTTACTGAAAGGAGAAAATATGATAGAAGGGAGACAGTAAAAGGAAGCTAACTCTATTCTGGAATTCCATCAGTCTGGCTTGATGTGGAAGAAAACTATTAACCACCGGGGCACTGTTTCCTTCTTCCCAGAACCTGTCTTCTACTTCGGCGACGTCGAGTACCCTGTGGACGAGAGCGCCGGCTACGTGGAGGTGCGGGTGTGGAGAACAGGCACGGACCTATCCAGGTCTTCCAGTGTCACAGTCAGATCCCGGAAAACGGATCCTCCCTTTGCTGACGGTGAGCGGTTTCCTACTGCAGCTCTTTTGATTGTTCTCCTGGGTTCAACTCATCTTGACGCAAAATACTTTAAAGCTAAACCTTCACGCCTGTGAAAGCAGTCAGGATGAATGGAATTATTTTCTGAAATTATTATTATATCGTAGGTAAGTCTAGGCTCTATGTATTACTGTGAGAAAATACATTGAAAAGCCACAAATTGGAGATCACGTTGCAAACATGTAAGTCAATGACCCTAAATCCTAATGCCTGTATTTGCATGATTTTGGTTCTCTACACCTGACTATTATGGCATCGGTATGCACAAGAATGTTCATGCTGGCCACCCTCACAGAAATCTAATGACGTGTAAGTGTCATGCAGATGTGCATCTCCAACTCGGTTCCCTCTTCATTTTAACCAGATGGCCCCATAAATACTTCAGAGCCAAAGGCTTTTTCCACACTTCATTATATAAGCTACCCTAGCCAGGAAGCACTTGCCTTTTATTCTGGAATTTACATCTCCAAAGAGTTGATCATAAAGTTTAGGGTAAGCATAGGATTAAAAATTTCCTTTTTTCTCTCCCCTAAATTGCCAATAATGCACCCTTTCTTTCTTATGTGCGCACACACATACATCATATGCCCATCGCATACTTATCACACAGAGCAAACAGGGGCCATACCATGTAGTGGAACCAGCATGATGCTTTGCATGTAGTAGGTGTCCAGTAAGCATTTGATTCACCCGAATTAGTTATTTTTTAAGAAAAATTCAAATCAGAGAAAGGTGAGAACAGAGATGAAGAAGCAGAGGAAAAGAAAAATACAAGAAGAACCACAAAGAGATACAGATAGAGATTTTAAAAAAATGAATTAAGGGCAGATACACTCATAGATGTGTATTCAGAAGTAAAGAGAATATATATATAAAATGAGGGTTAAAAGAACAGAAGGTATGAAAACAAAAAAGCAATAATATCAAACCCTTGTCACCCACTCCCAGTCTTTATGAATGTGGGGCCTAAAAACTGACAGACAGTTTTGTTTGTAACTACTTTAGACATAAATGGAGGTGTCAACTCTAGGTTTGCATCCCATGGTCTGAAACAATAAGCCAAAAATCAAATACGTTTTTGAGAATAAAAGATTGCTCTCCTTGCCCGGGGTGAGTGTGGGCGGATCGTGTGGGACAAAAGCTTATATCTGAAATGTGTTTCTTTAGCCAACAAGCAAACACACACCTAAATAGGATATTCTCTTGTAGCTTTGGAATATAAATAGAGATATTTAACTGATGTTAACAAAATTTAAATGTATATATTTTATAGGTCATTGATGATGATCACATATATGATCCATGTGATGATTCTTTCAGACCTGATTTTTATTAGCTCCCTTCAAGAATTCCAAAATAAAGATAGAGGGATTATATAACTAAAGCAAAACTAACTCACTAGATGTAAATAAAATAAAGTTTCAGATGGTAGACCTTTGTTCTACCATCTTGAAAACCAATATGATACTAATCCTTTGTATTTCACTAAATGTATTTTTCTGTAATGTTATACTGGTCTCTATATTTTTTTAAAAAAGAATCATCAATAGATCTACATAATTTGCTTCTCATAATTTTGTTTAGTTTAGTCAGTCCCCAACTGAATAATTCTTTTGTTATGCATATAGCTGGAACGGACTATGTGGGAATCAGTCGGAATTTAGATTTTGCACCTGGAGTCAACATGCAGACTGTTCGTGTTATCATCCTGGATGACCTTGGGCAACCGGTGCTGGAGGGAATTGAGAAATTTGAACTGGTGCTTCGTATGCCTATGAATGCTGCCCTCGGCGAGCCCAGCAAAGCCATAGTGTCCATAAATGATTCTGTCTCAGATTGTGAGTGTTTATTCATTTACAATGATAATTAAATTCATAGGCTATTTATATACAGATTAAGTAAAATGATGACCTGCGTGTATAAGTTTGCTAGGGCTGCCATAACAAAGTCCTGTGGACTCAGAAATTCTCGTCTTACAGTGCTGGAGTCTAGAAGTCCAAAGTCAAGGTGTCGGCAGGGTTGGTTCCTTCTCAGGGCTGCGTGGGAAGGATCTGTTCCATGCCTTGTCTTTGGCTTGTAGATACCCATCTTGTCCCTATGTGTCTTTATATCTTTCTGTGTGTGTCACAGTGTCTAAATTTCCCCTATTTATAAAGACAGCAGTTCTATTAAGATAGGGCCCATTCTAAGGACCTCATTTTTACTTGATTACCTCAATAAAGACCATAGCCTCAAACAAGGTCACATTTTCAGGTTGTGGGGGTTAGGACTTTAACCTATGAATTTGGAGGGGAAGAAATTCAACCCATAACAATACCCTGTCTGACCACGTCTTCATTTCTCCTTCTGACCCTCTTGATAAAATTAGGCAGTCCTTCCAAATTTAAAAAAAAAAGTGATATTGCCAGCAATATCTTGATTGTGTCTCAAGAGTTCCCTCACCACAATTTGAGAAACAAGACAGAGGATCATAAGGGAAGGGAGGGAAAAATGAAACAAGACGAAACCAGAGAGGGAGACAAACCATAAGAGACTCTTAATCTCAGGAAACAAACTGAGGGTTCCTGGAGTGGTGGGGGATGGGAGGGATGGGGTGGCTGGCTGATGGACATTGGGGAGGGTGTGTGCTATGGTGAGCGCTGTGAATTATGTAATACTGAGGAATCACAGACCTGTACCCCTGAAAAATAATATATCATATGTTAATAAAAAATTTTTTTAAATAAAAATACAATAATGGGGAGGAAGAGCTCCCTCACCATAGATAGGTGGAACCAACCACATGTAATGAGCTTTTTCCACTTCTCAACACAAGACTTTCTGTCATCTCCTTAGACCCAGACACTCCTGAAATTTCCCTAATAAGATGCCGAAAACATAGTTGTAAGACAGGCAGCTGCTGGATACGTGGGAGGGCTCTCTGACACATCCTCAGAAGGAATTCTGAATAATTTTCAACCATGATGGTCTTGACATTGCTTGGGAGAGTGTAACCTATTGTTAATGAGACCTATATTTAATTTACCCATCATCCATATCACTTAAATATAGACATAATATTCATTGTCAAAAATATTTTATATATATATTTCCATTATATATATATAATACTATATTCGTTATCAACTTTTCTAACATGGTCTGGGTAAACTATGCTTCTAACTGTGTGCACAATATTGAGTGTTATTTGGAAATAATTCAGAAATTATTCAGAAATTTCAGAAATTCTGAAAAGCTCATGATTAAGCAACATATATAGATACAGATATCTTAAAGTCTCTGGTTTTATCTACTTTTTAGCATTTCGCTGCATCTGCCTACTCCATGAAATAGAGCAGAATTTCAAAGATAAGAAAATCAAAACAATTTATTTAAGTGATTGCTTAAGGCCAAAACATTGTCAAGTGGCTGGGTGGAAACTGGAATCCAATTTTCATTTCTGTTCCATTCTTCTTTCCACTAAACCTTGCTTTCTGAAATGCCGTTTTCCTTAAGGAAATTTCCGTTCATCTTGATCCATATGTTTGTTTGCTTTGCAGTGCCTAAGATGCAATTCAAAGAACGAGTATATACTGGCAATGAAAATGACGGGCAGATAGTTGCAATGATCCGCAGGAGCGGAGACATTCACTACAGGTCTTCAGTGAGATGCTACACCCGGCAGGGGTCTGCACAGGTGATGACAGACTTTGAGGAACGTCCAAACACTGGTAGCTCCATCATCACATTTCTCCCTGGTAAGGTGGAGCTTGAAATTTTTATTTGGCATTTGAGGAAGCCAAGTTGTTGATGAGAAATATCAGGAAAAGACACCTTCTTGACCTCAACCAAGCTTATGATGTGGTTTTGTGTGCACTATGTGATAATAAGGTGAAGTAGATTGTAACAGATTGAATCGGTGATCTTTTTGGTGTCTGTATCAATTTATGAATTAATTTCCAGTGATGTGCTATACTGTTTATTCAAAACGAATTTGGTGGTATAACAAATACGTAGATTTTGCAATGCTGGGAGATAGTGTTCAAATGAGAGAAATGAAAGGAAATAGAGATCACACTTTTAATGTGAATTCAGAGCCTTAAAATGTTCTATCACTGTGATCCTGTAATTGTACTAGAAACTAATCCTGTAGTCAAACTATGATTGTCCTGTACAAGGTGGATAAATTTGCTTCCTAATCATAATGCTAGAAATTCATACATAAAATTGGTATTTGCTCTTTATCCCTTGTTTTCTAAGATGACTTACAGAACTTAAAAACAGACACTGGAGAAATTTCCCGTACAAATAGGGGCTCTCGTTGTGTATGTTCAAACATTTAGTCATTGATTCAGCAAATATATTTTTTAAAGATTTTATTTATTTGACACACAGAGAGACAGCGAGAGAAGGAATACAAGCAGGGGGAGTGGCAGAGGGAGAAGCAGGCCTCCTGCAATGCGGGGAGCCCGATGCGGGGCTCGATCCCAGGACCCTGGGATCATGACCCGAGCCGAAGGCAGACGCTTGACGACTGAGCCACCCAGGCGCCCCCATTCAGCAAATACTTATTGGAGGCTTATTACACGTCAGATACTCTTCTTTGCACTCTCAGTACAGCAGGGAAAAAGACAACATCCATGCCCTGTGGTGCTTATTATTCTAGTAGCCCAGGTATCCTTTGGGGCCTGGGATGTGATTGGGATGTCACGGTGGGACGGAACTGACATGCTGTCATTATCATTGCTCCAGGTGAGACCGAAAAGCCTTGTGTCCTTGAGCTGATGGACAACACACTCTTTGAGGAAGTAGAGGAGCTCCGCCTGGTTCTTGGCACCCCACAAAGTGACTCCCCCTTCGGGGCTGCAGTTGGGGAACAAAATGAAACTCTGATAAGGATCCAAGATGATGCCGATAGTAAGAAGTTATTTCTTGTCCTCGCCTGTAAATTGGGAATTGAAACCCATCTATGTTAACACTTTAGGTGGCTCAGAAAATAATCCCCTCTTTCTGACAAGGGTTTTAAAACAATTGAGAAATAGGAAAAAAGACTAAGATAAATGGGGAACCAAATAAAACACGAAAATCGAAAGTCGATGTTGGAGAATGTGCTTTACATCTAATGCTAAATCACACATGTTCAGACCTCCGGTAGGGTAGAAGTAGCCCCAGGCCAGCAGTTTCTCCCTCCCCTCGCACTCAAGGGACCCACTCCTATAAGACTCACGGCCCATAGAGGCTGCCCAGAGTACATGCTCTCTGGGGCTGGTTGATTCCCAAAGAAGGAACTGGATGATACACACTCAGTTTCTCCTAACCCACTCACCAGTAATGATGGGTGAGGGGACAGAGAGAAGCCATGAGTGTAATACTAATTAAGTTCCACTCATATGGAAAGAAGCATTAGACGCGAAGAAAAAGCATTTCCTTTACATTTTAATTTGTCCACGTTTCCCACAATTTTAGAGACTGTTATTAAATTTGGAGAAACCAAATTCAGCGTCAGTGAACCCAAAGAACCGGGACAGTCGGTGGTTGTAAAAATTCCAGTGATTCGCCAAGGAGATACTTCAAAGGTTTCCATCGTGAGAGTCCACACCAAGGATGGCTCCGCCACTTCTGGAAAAGACTATCACCCTGTGTCGGAAGGTATGGGAGTTCCTGGGGCCTGCCCCCAGGGGGGTGATGCTCACACTCTGTACCAGCACTGGTGCCCTTGAGAAAAAGAAGAGAAATATCCAACTGAAATAAAAATAGGCATACTCCTTTACATTAATCTCCATCAGAAAAATAATGGCAGTAGAATTTAGTTCCAGAATTTTCCTTTTTGACTTATGGGGTTTATGCATGAGCACTTAGGGAAATTTTGAGTAGACAAGATGACCTTCTGTTCTGAGTCTACTTTTACTTTTAATAGGTTTTACCTTCATTATGGTAATCGGATACTAAATAATATCTATTCTAGAATATTCTAGTACACTGAAAATATACATGGTAGCTGAGATAGCTTTTTAGTCTGTGGAACACCAATGATCTAAAACTTCAAGGTAGAAAATTTTGTGTTAATGGAGGTCAGTAAAAGGCTGGTGGAATGCCACGCAAAAAGACTATGAATTTTTCTGGGCCTTAGGATTTCATTATAGGTGCTTTTCATCCATCCCCCTCCTCCTTCAAATTTTTGGACCATTTCACCATTTATTTTTTTGAGGAATTAATACAAGTCAGTTCTTCGCTCTCTCTCTATGAATTATCTGCTGACAGAATAGATGTAAATTGATGTGCAAAGTTAAGTTTATAAATTATGTAGAGTTCAACTTACTCACTTTGTATCTAGTTTCCTACTTCTTACTACCAACAATCTTTTTTTTTTTTTAAAGATTTTATTTATTTGAGAGATAGAATGAGATAGAGAGAGAGCATGAAGGGGGGAGGGTAAGAGGGAGAAGCAGACTCCCCGCTGAGCAGGGAGCCAGATGCGGGACTCGATCCCAGGACTCCAGGATCATGACCCGAGCCGAAGGCAGTCGCCCAACCAACTGAGCCACCCAGGCGCCTACTACCAACAATCTTTAGTTCTTGATCGTAGAGCTTCAGGCATTCATCTTGATCTCGAAACTTGTGAAAAACAAAGTTTAGAAAGTGATGGATAGGTTTTACTAAGTCTGTAATAAAGTTGATGAGACAAGAGAAAAAAAGGAACTTGTTTTCTTTGCATCTATGGTAAAAAGTTTGACTACTGTAGAGCTTCAAAGTTATCCTCAGATTATTCTCTATGCAGAGAATGACAATATATTTGAAATAAATCACATATAACCCAAAAGGAGAGGAAAAAATACTGATTAGCTACTAAATTAGAAAAATCTAAAATAAGTCTTTCTATAATGAGCAAGAGCAGGTTTTACATGAAGGAAACATCTTCTAAAGATGGGCAATATGACCTTTAAGAGAAAATGTTTTTCTTAGAAACAAAATAATTCTTTTTGCTGAAGCACAAATAAATATTATACCTCTGTGGTAAACTGACCAATGAAGTCAGGAAAAGGTTAAATGACAGGAAATCAGCCTGTGTCTCTTTTATCCCATAAATGTAAACATGCTGTTTATAATGCTCATGATAAAAATTTAATCTCTTCTGACCCATATTCTAATTTCTCCCTTATGGTCAAAATTGAGGTTAGTCCCTTACAAATAAACAGAAATAATAAAGATAGAAGAAAACTTAAAATATTTTTTGTGCTAAAAATATCTAAAATGACAGATAAAGACTAAAATAATTGAGGAAACTTAATTATATATCATCTAGCATGTATACTGTAAGAAAACAACAATTTAAATATTTAAGGGGTGCCTGGGTGGCTCAGTCCGTTGAGCGTTGAGCGTCTGACTCTTGGTTTCAGCTCAGGTCATGATCTCAGGGTCCTGGGATCAAGCCCAGAGTTGGGCTCCTCACTCAGTGGGGTGTCTCCTTGTCACCCCACCCCACACCCCCCATGCTCTGGCTCTCTCTCTCTCTCTCTCACATAAATAAATAAATAAAATCTTTAGTAAATAAATAAATATTTAAAATAAATACTTAAGCTTTTAACTTCTTAGAAATTGGGTTTCTGTAATTCTGGGGGTTATAAAACTTGAATGCTTACAGGGCTAAAACAAGCAATGAATGAGGGAAATATGAGGGGAAAATGACAAGATGGGAACATTACTGAACCAGAAAGTCCATTCACTGCTGAGAAAACCCTGTACTGTCAGAGCCAGCTGACTTTAGCCAGGCAGGAAAGTACAAAAGAACTTTAAAAAAAAAAACCTGTGTTTTCCAATGAAATCCCCAGATATTTTTGGTTTTAGAAACTAATACTCTTTTGTTTTTATTTTTATTTTTTTTTAAGAGGGAGAGAGTGCACGAATGGGGAGGAGAGGCAGAGAAGAGAGTGAATCTTAAGCAGGCTTCATGCCTAGCATGGAGCCCAGCCCTGGGCTCAGTCTCACGACCCTGAGATCATGACCTGAGCCAAAATCAAGAGTCAGACACTTAACTGACTGAGCCACCCAGGTAGCCCTAGAAACTAATTTTCTAATGAAATGTCACACAGGTCAGACCGAACAAATTGGTGGGCTGGAAATGATCAGCTGTTTTCATTCTCTGATACAAGAACCCTAAATTCCCTCAGGGTAGGAGAATAAGACTAATAGACCCTAAGAACACACTAAGGCTAATGTGGAAAATGGCTATATCTAGAAAGATAACTCATTTTATTATTTTTATTTTTTTTTAAAGATTTTATTTATTCATTTGACAGAGAGAGAGAGACACAGCCAGAGAAGGAACACAAGCAGGGGGAGAGGGAGAGGGAGAAGCAGGCCTCCCGCCGAACAAGGAGCCTGATGGGGGGCTCGATCCCAGGACCCCGGGATCATGACCTGAGCTGAAGGCAGACGCTTAACGACTGAGCCACCCAGGTGCCCCCAGAACTCATTTTTAAGAGAAATCTGGCTTACTCAATTTTAAAGAAAAAAATCTTTTTCATAATTGACAAAAAAATAGAAGTAGCAGAAGAAAAACACATTGGAGACACATTTTCTTCTGCCACATTTTAAAGAATTTATAACTGAGAATTAAAATGATTGAACTTCAGTTCCATCAGAAACAACATCTGCTATCTTCTCTAATTAGAACAATTATGCATTATATTTTTTTAATTTTTCTCCTGAGCCAGTTTCTCAAGAGGTATAGTAAAACCAATAAAAAAGTTTATCCAAATCTCATGGTATGGGCAGCTGCTGACTCTTGAGTTCAATAAAATCAATTAATTTTTAATGTTTTAAGACTTTTGAAATGAATCATTTAAAAAGGGGATTTTCATAATTGAGTTTAATTTTCATTACAATGAAGCAAATTTTTTAGTGAGGAGAGACAGGATTAAGGGAAGCATAGCATTCCACATTCATTGAAAAAAAGTTTTAAGTTTCCAAGATTAACATCAACAACAGAAAAAAGTCTTTTTAAGATATAATTTGACATAATATTAAAAAGCTCAACAATTTTATATCCACCTTTAATTATCCATATATACATAATGCAAATGCCTCTCACACTTCATAATACCTCCAATTGTAGTCACCTGACTTGTGTCCTATAGATTCAGAAATTTTGGAAATGAGAGGCCGGTTTATCTGGTTATGCCTCAGTATTAGAACTATTGATCTGTTCCACAACTTAGTGTTTTTTCGAACTGTCAGTCAACAAATTAATTTAGTAGCTTCTGATTAGAATTTTCTTCAGATGAAATGGAATAGAATGGAAAATATTCAGATACAAAGCATACAGTAAAAATAAGTGATGTTTTTCAAACTCATGATTCCATTTTATTCACATACACACCTACACATGCACACATGCACACATGCATGCGTGCATACACAAATATACTGGACCACAGTGTACAATGTTTTCCTCATTGTGAGTCACTGTCAAGAAAGCTTGACAAAAATTTCACGTATTCCCATGTAAAAGACTTAAATCTGTGATTTTTGCATTTGTAGAAATTGAGTTTAAGGAGGGAGAAACCCAGCATATTGTTAACATTGAAGTAATCTTCGACGGGATCAGAGAGATGAGAGAGGCCTTCACTGTTCACCTAAAACCCGATGAGAACATGGTAGCAGAGACGCAGGTACGTACTAAGATATGGATAGAAATTCAGGGCCAGCTGGGGTGCCTGGGCAGTTAAGCGTCTGCCTTCGGCTCAGGTCATGATCTCAGGGTCCTGGGGTCAAGCCCCGCATCAGGCTCTCTGCTCAGCGGGGAGTCTGCTTCTCCCTCTCCCTCTCCCACTGTGCTCCCCTCTCCCTCTCTCAAATGAATGATAAAATCTTAAAAAAAAAAAATTCAGGCCCAGCATTTTAATTGGGGAAAATGCATATAACCATCACATAGTGTACAATAGACTACTAGGATTTTGTGCAAGCCTTTATAAAGTTGATGTGCATAATCCCTTTTTCACCTCATAAATAAATTTTGTTCCTATTACTCTTTCTTTGAAAAATCATGTGTATAGAAACTCAGGGACTAGAGTCACTGAGCCCCACATCAGCCCACTTAGTTTTCTCATATCAGTTGGCAACCACTGAATTTGAGATTTATTTCCAGAGAGAAGGCATCATCTTGACACAAAGATGAGACTATGAATTCAGGGCTACTGCTCATTAAAACATACATTTTAATCCACAACACAGTTTGCTAACCCTCAAAATTCCCACTGCTAGTCCTAGCTTTATCAATTTGATGTCCAGAGCCTCAGTGACCAAATATTACGGTCCTAATACTGATGTTCTGTGCTTATTAAATTTATATTGTGTCATCAACCAGACTTTCTTCAAGGTAAAGATTTTCCACAGAATTTTGACCTTTAAACATTAAATAATTTTTTAAAACGAAATAATTTTAGGCACAGACCAATGTTTATTATATCTATGCTTAAATTTACTCTAGTTCTTTTATTATTTGTTTTATTATTGGTATGAGATCAAATTGGGGAGATTTTTTTCCCTTAAGTATTTCTTATCATTTTGTAATCTACTACTCGATGGTATTCCTGCTACAGTGCTTACTTTTTTTTTTAAGTTATATTTAAAATTCAAGAAGTATGGGCAGAAAACCTTTAACACATATTTTTTATAAGTCTTGATCACATTAAAAATGATTTAGTGTTATTTTTGTAGAGCACTGTATTAAACTCTGGGGTGAAAGGAACAGAGATTCATTCAAATTGCTTTAAGTGATAACAGCTTTTTACAAATGCAAGTAGATACAGATTTGGAAACTGTGATATATAAGATACTGGAAGGTTATTCAGGAGCTAAGACAAATTTATCAACAAGGTGTCTTGGCATCTTACCAATAAATGTTCCTAGACTCCTCTCCTGTCTGTGACTCAGTGTCTCACTCTGCCTGGGTTTCAGGCTTTGCTTCTGGTCTCTGCTCATTTATTTTTTTTTAAATTTGTATTTAAAGCCAATTTAGTTAACATGTAGTGCATTATTCATTTCAGGAGTAGAATTTAGTGATTCATCAGTTGCATATAACACCCAGTGCTCATTACATCAAGTGCCCTCCTTAATGGTCTCTGCTCATTGAGAGCCTTGATTTTCGCTGGCATCCCCGTCAGCATGGCTATGCTATCACATGACCCCTAGGATCTGCTTTTTCTTAGCCTGTCACTCAGCATTCCTCTCCCTAGCAACTAACTGGCTTTTTCATGGATCTTCCATGCCATAACCCAAGACAGATTCAGCCACTATCATCACAATTTGGAGAAAAAAAATAGAACCCAAATACCTCATGGGCCACTGGCCAACCCAGGCTGCCCTGGGCTCATGTACCCTCCCCAAGTGCCATAAGACATGGCCAAGGTTGTCAGGGTCACCTAGAACAAACCACAAAAGGCCTGTCGCCCTGCTGGGGCTCTGCATGTGACAGTTTTCATCGTAATGAAGCCAGGGGCTTGTCAAGCATCATGTGTATCATACTATACAATAGAAGCTCCTAGATCCAAATATTTCAATAATCACAGATAATTATCTTTTCCTTGTAGGTGACCAAAGCCATTGTGTATATAGAAGAAATGAACAGCATGGCAGATGTCACTTTTCCTTCTGTCCCTCAAATTGTGTCATTATTGATGTATGATGACACTTCCAGAGCTAGAGATAGTGCTGGACCGATGTCTGGCTATCCTGTCATCTGTATCACAGTGAGTAGGAAATTGACAAAATCGAGAAAAATTGTAAAATAGCTAGTTAAAATAATTATAGATGTTAATCGATATAGCATTGACTTTGCCATGAAGAAAGGAAAGTGGGAATACTACAAGGTATAAGCTTTGAACTTTGGATATGAAAATATCACATTAATCAAATAAAGCTCCCATTTTTCTTCCTTATCCAACAGAGGTTTATTAACTGATGTGTACACAGTGTGTTATCTCGTGTTATCTCAGGGTCTGCCATTGATAGAAAAATAAATAAGGGTTGAACTCTGCACTCAAGGAACTTAAAAATAAGGAAGAGAAAAATATATAGGAATCAGTCATTCTACCAAAGGGCAAGATGTGATCATTACCATGAGAATGTCACCAGCCAGCTAGAGATGCAGCTCCGTGTGTGAGGCGAGGCTTGGGCTCCTTAAGTGGAATTTCAACAGTTGAAGATAAGAGTTAGACAAGGGGAGGCCGTTCCAGGAAGAAGCGATTACAACACAAGTGACATCTAAAGAATAGTATTAAAAAAGGGCATATTGTTACTACTTTTGTACTTGCCTTTTCTTGACTTTAAATTCTAAGTTCCTTGTGAGCAAAACTGGGAGGTACTTATTTTTATATAACAACAGCCTTGGTATCATGACCTATGTCTAATAGGCACATAATAAATATTTACTGAATTAACAAGGCAGAAATAATAATTTGGTGTCAAGTTATAGAGGTCTTTACATGTGATGTTAAAGACTGGGCTTCATTGGTGGGGTAGCAGGGGGTTCTTGGGCAGAAGTACAGTGTGAGAAGAGGGGGTGTCACCTCGCAGCAGTGTGTCCCTTGACTAGCAAGACCCCAAATGAGATGAGAGGTGGTGCTGGGAATGGGAAGGAAGGCACCCACTTGAACATTGCAAAAGAAGAATCAGCCAAGGTCACTGACCTACTTGGGGGGCAAGGTGAGAGAGAAGAGGGAAGGAGGGAGGGAGGGAGAAAAACAAGAATGATTTGGGATCTCGGAGATTCCTGAGATGATGCAGAAAATAACAAGTTTACACGCATCAAGTTAGAGTGGAATTGTGCAGGAGGCTGTTTGAAATCAGAGTCCATGAACGCTGTTAGGACTAGAATAGAAATGTGAAGGTTGCGGGTGCCTGGGTGGCTCAGTTGGTTAAGCGACTGCCTTCGGCTCAGGTCATGATCCCGAAATCCTGGGATCCAGTCCCACATCGGGCTCCCGGCTCAGCGGGGAGCCTGCTTCTCCCTCTAACCCTCTCCCCTCTCCTGTTTCTCTCTCTCTCTCTCAAATAAATAAATAAAATCTTAAAAAAAAAAAAAAAAGAAATGTGAAGGTTGCATGAATAGCATGTAGCAATGGAAAAAAGCATCAGGGAAAGCACTAGGCTATAGAGCTTGAGAGTCGTAACTTCCACATTGTTCTGTACTGTGGTCCTGACAGTTATTTGTTTCCTGTAGGCTTGCAACCCTAAATATTCAGACTATGACAAAACAGGCTCTATTTGTGCAAGTGAGAACATCAACGACACCTTGACCCGGTACCGATGGCTAATTAGCGCACCCACTGGCCCCGATGGGGTCACCAGCCCCATGAGAGAAGTGGACTTTGACACCTTTTTTACATCATCCAAGATGATCACCTTGGATTCCATATACTTCCAGTCCGGCTCCAGGGTGCAGTGTGCGGCCCGCGCTGTGAATGCCAATGGCAATGAGGGCCTGGAGCTGATGAGCCCTATTGTCACCATCGGCAGAGAAGAAGGTAATGCGCTGCCATTTTCACATGAAGACCACTGAAATACCATGGAATATTATCAATATCTGATCTCTGGTTATTAGTTCTCCCAAATGCCCCCATATATTCCTTAATACTCATCGGGTACTTAAAAAATGACATCTACTTTCACAAAAATATTCATTAGAAAATATTTATTCATTCCACATTTTTTTTTTTGATCACCTATTATATGCCAGACTATGCTTTCTGCTGGCACTCAGAAAAAGGAAGCAAGACTCTTGTTCTCGATGAGTTCACACTCAAGCTGAGGACACAGATAAATTTTAGTCTGGACAAGGCACAGTGAATGTGACTAGTTCTATCCTGAGTGGCTCAGGAAACAGGAGTCTTGAAAACAGCAGAGAAAAACAAAAGCATGAGCAATGACTCATAGAAGCATGGAAGAACATGCAATATTCTGGAAACTACAAGCAGAGAAATGGGGAAGCAGGTGAGAGGGAGAGTGGAGAGGAGATGAAGCAGGATGGTATGCAAAGGTCAGATCTGGACAATGTGGCTTCTATGTGATGAGTTGGTTGTCACAGCAGTAGGAATTTGCTGGGGACGGGGACAGAGGAATGTCAGTGCAGGTGGAAAGGTATCCACAAGTGCCCACACTTGTGATTATAAGGGAGGTTGTGTCCGGGGCTGGGGCCCAGACACATGGCGGGTGGAGAATAGAATGTAGCTGGAGCAACACTGAAAAGACAAAAAATCCAATTTATAAACTCATCCTTCACTCTGCCTGAAAACTTTTAAGGTAGATTTTAAAAATAACAGTCTGTTTTTAAGATTCTATTTTTAAAACTTTATCTGCATCCAGTGGTTCAGAAGTATATTTGTTGCATAAAGAAAGGTTATATGTACCACCTTCATATACTCAGGATGAATATTTATTGATATCATATATAGTAAACATGCTCTTTTGTTAAGATTAAAATACATGGTTATTAAGTTTCTCTTAAGACCAAACTATTACATTGGTACCAAAAGGAAAAAAAATTGAACAACGCCTTAAAATGAGTCCCCCTATTAATAAAATAGCCCAGATGCTGGAGCCTGCCTCTGGTTTTATTACTATTCTAATAAATACTTGTCTATTTCCTTTGTTTTGTACAAATAGAAAAGAGATTATATATTGCCTAGTGCCCTTAAAATTATAAACCAGCATCTTAGTCCCTTTCATAATATTAAAATGAAAATTCATCACAATTCTTTTAAAGGAAATATTGGGGGCAGATTTTCACGTCAAAATGCTTGAGAATCACTAAGAGATAGATAATAGAAAATAATCTTATCATGTGTTTCCATATGTATATGGGTATATCAGTATCAGTATGTTTTGTATCAGTATGTATATTATAAATTAAAATTTATAATACACATACCAAAAGAAGTTACATATAGAGAGAAAACTCTACTGTATATAGTTCTCTGATTCTAAGGAGACTTTAGTTTTTGTTTTAAAAATGAGCGCATTTTTAGTTTATTTGATTATAAATAATGATACTTTATGACTAGTCATGCACATTATTCTGGAATAAGCATCCAATTCACTTAATTAAACCACAGTTACTTTTTTCCTGCTGGCTTTTAGTCCTTTTTTACTGTATCTGTTCACATTTTATATTAGAATGATTTTGTAAATATGATTATAACCTAGAATGTCCAGCACGTATTAAAGTACATTGAACAGTAACTGTTATTTCTCAAACTTTATAAACTACCTGAAATGTAAAGAAGTAGCTACTAAACTGTCTGCTGCACTTATTTCTCACGCCAGGGTCTTTGGCTTTTTTACAGCTGCTCTTAGCAATGCCTTAGTCCACAGAGAAGTTTTAATTTTATTATTTAAAAAACTATAGTGCCCAGGGGCGCCTGGGTGGCTCAGTCGTTAAGTGTCTGCCTTCGGCTCGGGTAGTGATCCCAGGGTGCTGGGATCGAGCCCCGTATCGGGCTCCCTGCTCGGCTGGAAGCCTGCTTCTCCCTCTCCCACTCCCCCTGCTTGTGTTCCCTCTCTCGCTGTGTCTCTCTCTGTCAAATAATAAAATCTTAAAAAAAAAAATTATAGTGCCTAGCTTAAAAATATTCTTTCAGCGTTGTCTGTTATGTTCCTTGAGCATAAGTACGTTCATTTTTCCCTGAGGTCTGTGTCAGCCCCGGGTGCCGGGGACAGTGGGGGCAGAGCCGTTCTCAGCCAAGCTGCGCTACACGGGCCCCGAGGACCCAGACTACACAAACCTTATCAAGCTCACGGTCACGATGCCACACATAGATGGTAGGTGGCTTGGGTAAGCAAATCCATGGGAGTGGTGTGGGCTCCTCATTACCTGGTTTATGCCACTGAATACCTGAAATCGCCACGCAGATGATAAGATGTTCGTTTTGCAATGTCACCTTCAAGTCTTTTTCTTTCAAGTGATTCTGCTTTCTTCCCATCCTGTTTTTTAAAGTCTGACAACTTAAGCCTTCTTTAATATTAAATAAATTTAATACATTGTCCAAACACGATGGAACAAAACTTTGATCCATGTGCTAGCTTTTATGAAATGGTATGACTGTGTCTTTAAAACTCTTGAACTTGGACTTCCAGTAAAGTATTTCAGTATCTCATTGAGCACCTTCAACATGTATTTGCTATTTCATAGCTGGAATTTTATAAATCCAATTTATAAATTGTGTTCATTTTCTCCAGATAGGCAAGTTATGGCCAGAATTTGTGAGTCGATAACTTTATCCACACTGTCAACATTTCCCCAAGTACAGAAAACATCTTCAAGTTCTGTTCTTCTCAATTGACTCTATACCTAAATTGTTAATATTAACTTTATGACTTGGTAGTTAGTTATATTTTAAGTAGCTAAGCGAGAAGAAACATGAGGCAGTATTAGGAACGATACGGTAGAATTTATCTTTCTCAGAAAAAAGATATAATTCTGCTTTTTCTGCTTATTGCAAACCCAAATTTGTGTTGGTGGGAGGTGGGTGGACAGGAATCTGCACCTCTTTACAGCATAATGTGGGTCTCACATATGGCCAGCCTATCTCTAGACTCATGTTGGAGGTGTGACTCAGAGGTGCAAAGGGCCAAAGGGGGGACCCATCAGCAAAGAGCCAAAGGGGAACCCACCAACAGATCCTAATAGAAAGACTGGTCCCTCATGCTACTCCTACAGCTGACTTTGCATTACCTGACATGGTCAATAGACACAGCTCTGCCAGAACATGGTAGAAGCTGACCAGTTCTTTTGTGAGGCCAGGGTTTTGCTCTGGGAGAATCTGAGAATAAGAGGAGGGAGATATTCCAGGAGAACACCTCTCTCGTGGTCCTTTTTGCTGCATTGCCCATGCCAGGGCTCAACAAACTCTGGCTTCTGTGCCAAATCCAGCTTACTTGCCTGCTTTCATATGATCTTGCAAGCTAAAAAATGGTTTTTACGTTTTTAAATGTTTAGAAAAAAACAAAAGAAGATTTCATGGAACACGAAAATTATACAAAATCATAATCCATTGTGCATGATCAAGTCTTACTGCACACTTACATGAATTATTTTGCATGTCATCTGTGGCAGCTTTCATGAGACACAGACCTTATGGCCCACAAGTCCTAAAATATTTACCATTTGACCTTTTAGCCAGGAAGTTTGCCAAACCATAGCTTACACTGTACAGTGGTAGTTTTCAAACATTTTAGTCTCAGGACATCCTTACAAATTATTTAGGATCTCAAAGACCTATAGTTTTTATGAGTTATATCTATAAATATGAACTGGATTTAAAATTAAAACTGGGGAAATATTAAATACTTACTTTTTCATTCATTTAAAAATAACCAATCCATTACATATTCACAGGAAAAACATACTTTTAAGAAAAATAGCTCTAACTTATAAGTCAAAAAAATTGTGTTTTTCTTACATTTTTGAAAATACCTTTAATGTCTGGCTTCATAAAAGACAGCTGAATTCTTTTATGTACCTCTGCATTCAATCTATGGCAATATATGATGACTCTCAAAAACTCCACTGTACTGGAATAATGGTGGAAAAGTCAAATAATGTCTTAGAATCATTATGAAATTAACTTTAATGTCACAGATCTCCTGAAAAATGCCAGAGGACCCCTGGGACACCACGTTGGTAGTAATCACTGCTGTACAGTATTTTATGACACTTGTCTTCTTGAGGATAAAGAAATGATAAGTGTTCTAAATCCTTTGCTGGTGACGATGGCAACATGATCACAATTCCTTGCAGGCATGCTCCCTGTGATCTCCACTAAAGAGCTTTCCAACTTTGAGCTCACCCTCAGTCCTGATGGCTCAAGAGTTGGAAACCACCAGTGCTCCAACCTTCTGGATTACACTGAAGTGAAGACTCACCATGGTTTCTTAACTGATGCTACAAAAAATCCAGAAGTAATTGGAGAGACGCATCCCTACCAGTACAGCTCATCTATCAGAGGCACCAGTACATTACGCTTCTATCGAAACCTGAACCTAGAGGCCTGTTTGTGGGAGTTTGTTAGCTACTATGACATGTCAGAACTTCTCACTGACTGTGGAGGCACCATTGGGACCGATGGACAGGTAGGAAAACCAGCTGGTTTTGTTCAGGTATCCAGATGTGGACTAAATCCCAACTCCAGTCTTCCATCTTGGTGGTGAAGGTCATTAGGCACAGGAGGGAACTGGCATGCGTGGTATGAAAATTCATGTTTATTTCTGGAAGAAGGTGTCAAAATTTTGACACATTTTTTAGCAGTGGGCCCATAACATCTTTGTATCGAAAGGTCACTATATAATTGTTGCCGTAAACTCCAAATCTACTCTGGTATTATAAAAATCTAAATACTAATTTTTCTTCAAAGTGTACATTATCATTTATTGTGTATATGTACAGAGATGTCTCCTATATGTCATAAACCGTCTAAAGTGAGGATTTATAATCCTTAGAGTCAGACCAATTTTTCTCTCTCCTTTTCTTCTTCCACCTTCTTTCTCTCCTTTTACCCCCTTTTCTGCTCCCTAGTTTCTTCCCCATTCCCTCCCAGTCTGCTTCATTTCTCCATCACTAACATAGTCAAAAATATTTTCATTAAAAGCTTATTGTTATTTCTCCTCTAGAGTTACTGACTCCTCTTCATACTACACAGACATTTACATCTAAAATACACAACACACACATACACAAAATCCCCACCCCTATTATCATCAACAAAGTTGTCAAAATGATAAGCAAGGTCTCCATTAGCAGTTATGATAGAGAATCTAAAATATGTTGGGTGTAGTTGAGAAGTGTAGTGACTGTTTGAACTAAAAGCCATGCTCTGTCCTACCTGGACTAAACAAAGAGTAGTCTCTACTCTGTTTTCGCCCTTGAAAATGTTTTCCATCTTCTCTGCAAAATGGCAGCACTTTCTGATCTTTATATCTGCAAGCCAGACAGCCTTGTCTAACGAAAACCCTGCACTTGCCCTCGGAAGTCCTATCCTATTACATCTGCCCCCTCCCCCAGTGTCTCAAGGGCATTTTGAATACAAATCCTGTCCTCTAATGTGTGCATCTTTCTGACCAAATCTTACTATAAAATGCTCAGCTAAACTGACAATACTTTGCTGCGTGTGTATTTTCTTAAATTACTGGTCCTCTATTTAATTGTTTAACTTCAGTACTTCTCCTTCCCATTACCGCTGCCCGCTCAGAAAGTCACTGCCCTTCTGTGGCTGAGCTGCTAGGGGCTCTGCTCCATTAGGTGAAAACGAGCAACTGCAGGTTTTTCAGTTAAGATTTACCCGCCTGAAAGGCTCCTGTTACAGTAACACTAGGAATATAAGCATCATCCCATCCAATTTTTAACAAGTTTGTGTTACCCTCTTGATTTTTTGCTTTTGCATTGTTGCAAATAAATTTAATAGCATCACCGCGATGATCAACATACATAGAGATGACCAGATTCAGCGTAAATCATTGACATTTCAGGAGCTTGTTATAAAATTTTAAAAGCCTCAGTGTGAACTCAACATTAATACAGTCTAATAAGACGTGTTTGCTCATGCTTAGAGTGGAGCTCAGAGATGGGCATCTCCTTTTCCCCTACTTGGTTCCTTGGGCTTAAACATTTACTTCTCCCCTAGCTCTTGATATTCTCCTAAATCCCCACCTCCCCCCAACACACACATTACTTAAATATAGGCGAGGAGGAAGAAAATATAAATTAAAGTGGAAGAAATATAATTCTTTCACACATTTCCTTAATGTTCCCCATTAGTTTTGGATTCTAGAGAAGAAGAGAAAATACCTAATTGTACCAATGATAAGAATAATGATTATAATAGTAATAGCTAACAATTATTTAATGTTGTACTGTGTGCCCTCCATTCTTCTAAATACTTTACATATTTCTACAAATTCTGTCCTCACAAGAACATTATGAAATAACTATGAGTTCCCCACCCCCCACCCCCACCCCCGTTTTAGAGATGAGGAGGCTGAAGCAAAGAGAACTCAAATAATGTGCCCAAATTCAATTCGCTTGTAAGGCTGTGCTCTTCACCACATCATGATTCTTATCTGGATATTTAATTGAGTGAATTAAATGTCATTTAATTGGGTGAAGGTGAGGAATGGATTTGGTCACAGATACAACTGCGGGAAAGGCAAATGAACTTGTCTGTCGTTCTCAGGACAGTAATGCTGCCCAAGGGTCATGAACATGTCTGCCAGATTACGCTTACACCCGTGCTGATAAAATTATGCAAGTCTGTGCCTTCATGACAGGGGTCCACAGACTCAGCTGAGTACCAGCAGATCAGATCGAAATGAAAACATATTTCATGAGGCTACACCTGAAGGAAAACAAACTAAATACTTGGTGAACAGATTCTGCTTTAGGGTTTCGTAAGAGTTTTGCAAACTTTCACATTTCCAAATTTAGGATGGGAAAATGGGGAAGAGTAAAGGTAAACCATCAATATGGGCTGTCTTCATGGCAGCTTTGTGATTGGGTTGCCCACTCCACTGGACCACAGATCCCGAAGGAAGCCAGTGCTGCCCCCAGTCTGTTTGTCCTCTACCAAGAACGCACGCCCCCAGCCAAGTATTTAATAGATGTGACTTTCTCTCTTCTAGTCCTTTTCTAGACTTGGCACCTTAGATCAGGATGATCACTGTGCAAACAAATTTTACTCACTGGTAATTGCTTCCCCCAGGAACAACATGATGAACTGACTTTTTTTTCTTCGTGTGCTCTTAGTGGCTAAAGCTACTTCTACAAAACATTGGCAAGTCCCTGCATTTCTCTTTGTGATTGAAAAGCTGTTTCTAACTCTCTGAGAAAGATTCTCTACCTTCCCTAACCTCCCACATTCAGATTTTTTAACTTAAAGACAGAGTTGCCAAACTGAAGGAATCATCTGAAATATCCAAGATAGTTCTGTATTCATAGCAAAGGAAGTTTTATGAAGTTTTATGCAGTTTGACTACAGCTATAACTTTAGCTGATATCAAGAGTATTTCTGCTTTTCTCGCCGTATTCATTGCACCTTTTTCGTTCATTAAAGAAATATGAACTGAACACCTACTCTGTGCCAGGGACTATCCCAGGCCCCTGGTGAGGACACCAGACACAGAGCTTACACTCCCAACAAAGTAGAGTTCTAAGAGTCAATCCTCATTCTTATAAAAGTTAAGAATTTTATTTGCTGAGAAAAAGAAACACGGACTTTTCTAATCTTCAATGCTAACATCATTTTTAATAGTTTCTAAAATATAAAAGCAGATGAATAGCAGGAAAAGAAAAATAGAGATCAATTAAAAAATGATACTGCTCCATTGTTTTGTGTGACAAAACAATGTTCTGTAAATCAAAATTTAAAATGTTTTGGTGTACAATAAAAAGCACTTGTGCTGCAAAATAATCATTAAAGTTAAACCAAGTTTTTTAAAACTATTGGATATTTTTGGTGGCGACTTTTCTCTTGAAAACAACTTCTTATACAAATGAACGCCCTCAATTCATTCCACTTTTCAGGAGCCTGGCTATTGGTCTTGTGAGGTCAGAATCTTAGCTCTTACCTTGTTGGGTAAACACCAACTGATAACATCCTTCAAGGAGAATAAATAAGCTACAGAAATGCAACCCCAAGTAAGTTTGCACTGAAAACATCAAATTGTAATTTACTTATGAGAAGACATGATTTTCCATGATTTTGGGAAAGTAAACGTGTTTTTTCCTAGTTGCTTGGTTTGAGGAATAATTTTTCTTCCTTGTTACTGTGTGTTGGGATTTAGAAACATGGAACTTTAGGGCACAAATATATTTTAGAAGTCATCCCTTTCCATCCCAGTATTTTATGCTTAGTACTTGGATTTATTCTTTTACACATGTATGTTACTCTAAATCATTTTACAAGAAATAAGATCCAAAATGTGTAGCTTACCTGGAGCATGTTGCTTCTTAGTTTGTCAACTTTGTCAATTTTTTTTTTAATAATGTGGTTTCTTTTTTTTTTTTTTTAAGATTTTATTTATTTATTTATTTGAGACAGAGAGAGAGAGCACAAGTGGGGAGGAGAGGCAGATGGAGAGGAAGAAGAGACTCCCTGCTGAACAGGGAGCCTGACACAGGGCTCGATCCTAGGACATCCCAGGACCCTGAGATCATGACCTGAACTGAAAGCAGATGCTTAACTGACTGAGCCACCCAAACTCCCTGGTTTCTTTGTTTTTTTAAGTAATGATAGCACAGTGGAAAGCTGGGGAACTAAAAAAATGTAAAAAAAAAAAAAAAAATCTTATTCCACTATCACTGTGCACAGATTTTCTAGTGTTTTCCAATGTACATACACATTTTTTAATAGTAGCAGTGTAATGTTATTTATACCATCTTGTATACTGCTTTTTAACTTAACATTATGAGCATTTTCTCATGACAAAGAAAATAGATACATGACTTTTGATGGCTACATAATATTTTACCTTGTGTGTCATCATAACTTATTTAGCCAATCTTCTATTGTTGGTCATTTAGATAATTTCTAATTCTATTATTGTAAATATCCCATAGAGTTGTCCTTAATATTAAAGAATTTGTGGACCAATATTGACCCTACCTCATTCCAGGGTCTCCCTTGTGCATCTCTGATCCCGTAGGCCTTTAGAAAGGCTTGTAATTGGACAGAAGCCAAGGTCTCTTTCTTCCAAGTGTTCCTGGATGTGTAGGTTGCTATTACTGCTAATCCCTTGGCTAAGGATTCTAACTTGTTAAAACAGTGTTCTCCACTGAGTAGCTAAGTCCATGCTTTACTGAGACTTCAAGCTATTGAGATTTATGAGCCTTCTTTACACATTCACAAACACCACCATCTTGATGATGTAGACATATTTCTGGAAACAAGAGGAGCAACAGAAATTTCAGTCAGTGGGAAATCCACACCAGTGGTAGCCCTCAGATAATATTCTAACAGCTGTAGTCCAATTTTCGATCTTTGAAGTGAGCACAAACCACATATCCCACATAAAGGAGGGTAGATATTGGATTATAAAATATTTTAAAATGATTACTGTTTTCAACCTGTGTGGTCCAATTAAAGACCTTGGGTAGAAGAGTCTAATCAGTGCTGCCCAATATGGTGAGCACTAGCCATGTGTGGTTATTGAGCGTTCAAAATTGAGATGTGTTGTTCCTGTAAAATACAAACCAGATTCCAAAGACTTAGTAGCAAAAAAAAAAAAAAAGTCTCAAAAATTACTTTATACTGATTGCATATTAAAATGTAATATGTTTGATATATTGGATTAAGTAACTATTCTTAAAATTAGTTTCACATGTTTCTCTTTACTTTTTGAAGTATGGCTGCTAGAAAAATTTTAAATTACATGTGTGGCTCACATATTTTTATTGAATAGTTCTGGTCTACATACTTGAGTGTTAGCACTGATTGTACTGAATAATCTTGAGCAAGCTAATTGACTTCTTCACGGCTTAAGTTCAACACACGTAGAATATAGCCTTGCTCAAATGAAAGTTGCAAAGGAACAAAGTAAATCTAGATAGCTTTCATTAGTGCATGTGTATGCTGCCAACTTCTATAAGAAACAGTGCGTATATATACTGCCTATTTCAATAAAGCAATATGTAATTTGGATAGCTTAAGCTGGATGCCCCAGTGAGTGAAGAATTCACTCCACTGGGATTTACCTCAACACTAGTCCCCACCTTAGGCAATATTCCGTGTATAATTTCTCTTTTAGCATATTCATTTTCCTCCCTATTCTTCCCTTCTCCTACCATCTGACACAGCCCAGCAGAATTGCTTTTGTGTCTTCAGCTGCCAATACCTCCCCAAATATATACTTGTTGCCCATTATTATCCACTTAGTAGTAGTAGTAGTAGAAATTTATACCAGTGTTACCTTTGCCAGAAAACTCGCATTTTATGCTTTCCCTTTAAATTTGGAATTTAAAGGCTCGCTTGGTTTTGTTGAAGACACTTCAAACGTCTGTAAGGACATGTAAACTCCTGTGTCGTGTCATGGTTGCTTTAAGAGCAGTGTACCAGATTTAACATCTATTTCTTTTAGTATAAACAAATCCCTTAAAAAGTACTGTGATACAGAGTGAAAGAAAATTAACTGCTCATTAAGATGATATCCAGAAGTTAGATTGACGGCACTGCATTCTTCAATTTTACAAGAATGAACAGGTAGGCGACCTGGATGATTGACATTGTTGCATTGGCACCAGTTACTCTAGACAGAAGTTCCAAGCAGACAAAGAAGGCCTGGCCATGGTGAACAAGAAAATGCAATAAGATGCTGATTCCATGTCCGGAAATGGTCAAACTCTAGGTTGCCACAAGAATCAAATGAAAGAAAATAAAAATTAGTCAGGGAGCTTTGTGCCAAGTAACTCATTCATAAGAAGTGAACATTAATAGTTCTGTCCAAAATAGCACACTCCGTAACATTTGATAGAGTATAATGTTGGCAAAAATCATCAGCACCCAGACAGTTTAATTGGAAAGTCATTCCTAAAGTCTAATTTTTAAAAGATGATGGTTTATTAAAATCACAGGATGAAATATTAATCTTAATTTCCAGTGGCATATACATTGACTTGATCACTCTTCTTTACACTGTTAAAATTGCACTGCAAGATCAAGTTCTCACTGAGTGCAATAATATTGACCCTTAACAAATATTATCTCAAAGAACTTTCGTTCCAAGGCCCCTCTTCTGCTGGCTGTGTTAGCAGATGATGGGGAGTGCTAGTTACCACACAGCTAGGAATTAAATAAGTTGCTTGGATGATGGTTTTCTTTTTATATATTTTTGTTGGAGATTCAGGTCTTCATTTTTTTGTGATTTAAGGAGTTTATTTTTTTACTCTATGACAAAGTGATACAATATTGTTATCATTCTTTATATTATTCACTAACTCATGTGTATGATCTCTGTTGCCAGCTCAATGTGGAAAGAGAATTAGAATGGTATTAGAAAGCCCAACTGGAACTTCTAATGTGTATGATCTGACCTAAGTCCATCTCCTCTTGTGTAGAAGATAATTATATTTGCCCAGCTCTTCTGCAGAGCTATTTTGAGAATTAAGTATGATAACGTTGGTTAGGTGATCCTAGGACTGCCCTCAGCTTTGTTTGGAATGTGATGACGTGTGATAGAGTAGAAAAGCACAGGCCAAAGCCTGGGTTCTAATACTGGCAGGGCCATTCAGAAAGCTTAAAGAATTCTGTGAGAAATTTGCTTTATTTCTTTGAACGTTAATTTTCCTTTTTCCTTTTCTGTGCATTATCTATCCATCCATCCATCTAACCACCCATCCATCCATCCATCCATCCATCCATCCATCCATCCATCCACACATACAACCATCCACACATACATATAAATATAATTATGGGGGAGAGTAAAAATATTAAATAGCTTTTATTGTGAAGCTAGGGGCTCAATAAATGAATATTAGTTTATCCTCCACTACTCCTAACTCTCCTACAAAATACCTGAAGAAGAAAAGTATAAAATTCAAAGCAAGTCACTTCATTTCAACTAAAAATTAATTTTGCGACATATTAAGTATTACATGTCATTACTCAACATGTTTGCCTCTAGATCTTTCCTTCTTTATTCTCTCCTCCTTTATGTAATAATTTAAAAGTACCTTATAGCAGTATTATTCATAATAGCTCAGAACAGGAAGTAACCCAAATGTCCACCAACTGACAAACAGATAAATATGTGTTGCATATGCATGCCATGGGATGCTATTCAGAAATAAAAGTATTGAAATGTGCAGCAACATGGATGCACCTTGAAAACATAAGTGAAAGAAGCCTGTCACAAAAGACCACATACTGTAAGACTCCATATATATGGAATTTCCAAAACTGGCAAATACATAGAGACAGAAAATAGCCTAGTGGCCACCAGGGGAAGGGAGGAGGAAGGAATGAAGGCTTGGCTTCTAATGGGTTTGGAATTTCCTTTGGAGGTGATGAAAGTGTCCTAAAATTGACTGTGGTCAAAGTTACACCTCTCCCTGAATACATTAAATACTGTTGGTTTGTCCACTTTAATCAACTGAATTATGGTATGGAAATTATGTCTTAATAATGCTGTTATTAAACCAAAAGGACTGTGTAGGTATAATATGCTCAAAATAATGCAATTTACTTTCACGTTTGCTGCCGCATATCCTTTGTTGCAAAGGAAGGTAATGGTAACAACTAGTTAATTCTCCAAAATTAAGTGAGGGGGCAATAGTATAAATGCTGTCACTTTCTTTCCTTAATGGCCACTCAAAATCTCTAGTTGAGTGAAAGGAGAAAGAGGCTTGTACAAAGTTAGGTTCCTCTCGTTAACACTGAATCATGTTGACAGATAATTTTATTGTTTTAGGTCTTAAATCTAGTGCAGTCCTTTGTGACCCTTCGAGTGCCTCTGTATGTTTCCTACGTGTTCCATTCTCCGGTTGGGGTGGGAGGCTGGCAACATTTTGACTTGAAGTCGGAGCTCCGTCTGACTTTTGTGTATGACACTGCCATCTTGTGGAATGATGGAATCGGCAGCCCACCAGAAGCTGAACTCCAAGGTGGGTTAATATATTTGGAAACGAGTGTTCTCATCTATCTGAATTACTTAGGTTTTTGTTTTGTTTTGTTTTGTTTTTTACCGTAGCTAAAAATAATAGAAGTGACTTTCAATAGATTTTATTTTTATAATCAGTATTTTAAAATTATTTCATTTTGTCATGGGAGAACTAACAAAACCATATCAGTGCCTCAAACTGTGCATAACATGTGACTGTTAAATATATTGTGTCCATTTCATGGGTATTTAACCCTTAGAGTCCATTTTAGGTGATTCATCATGTATGCGTTACGCAACACAGTCCACGTGTTTCCTAGATTCTAGAAAACCTATAGAGGAAGTTCCAATTGAAAATAAGAAATGAACCCAAGAGAAGAATTTATGTTTTTTTTTGTTTGTTTCTGAAAATGAGATAGATCCTGGATTCTAGTTCTGGCTTCCCCCACTAACTAGCTATGTGATCTTGAACATACTGCTTAACCTTTGTGGCACTCAGTTTCTTCTCAAAGGTAGAATAGACTTCTAATATTCTTTTTATTTTAAAATTCTATTATTCTGTGATATTTTTAGCAGAATGTCTTGGAACAGTGGTGGTAAGTACAGCTTTGCCCATAAGCATCTGCCAAACTTTGTTTCAATCTCCGTATCAGAATAATAATTCAAAGTCCACAGGCATAAAGCTAATTTACCTATCCGTAAAATGAATACTGTTTCTTTTCAGGCACATGCTACTGTTTGGGTTCCATGCCTATCTGAGCATTGTGCCTGCATTCCTTTTTATGAGCCAGAGGGAAAGTACTATTGACAGTGCACCAAATTTGCTATCTTACACAGATTAAGATTGCCTCAGAGCTATGTGAAAGGCAGTATGATTACCCTGAGTGATCATCCCAGATTATTTTATATTTCAATGTTTTAGTTAACATGTCTTGCCTTAAAAATATATATATTTAAGGAAATTTTAATGTGGATCCAGTTCTCAAGTTCTATGTAAGGATCTCATGGTTCCTTCTTATCTCTGGAACCAACTTTGGTCAAACTGCTAAAAGTTTTGGAAAACCTCCAGAGTTTTTATTAAGTCTATAAAATTTGGAATCATTCTGGAGAACACAACCCCACTTCCATGTTCAAATCTTTAACACGTGACAATTTTACTGTGTCTCTCCCAACTTACAGCTTCATTTATGTAGACTGAGGCTTTTAGGGGAAAAAAAAATCTTGGCCTGTTGTACTCAATCTATTTCTGTTTCATATTGACTTCACTCACGTTACCTGATTCTATTTTGCCTCCCTTCTTGACACCTTTCCTTGTTAGAAAACAGAGCAAAACAAACAATCAAAACACTTCTGCTTCTCTTATCACTCAGAATTCTTCTGGTAACAGCTTTTGGCTAGAATGCTTAAAGATGAGAGGTATCCGAATTCAAATTCTGAAGAAATCCTGCACTTAAGAAGGAGTCCCTGGTCACCAATATCGCCACTCTTGTGCACTATCCCGTGTAGGTTCTCTCTACCCAACAAGCATGCGCATCGGTGAAGAGGGGCGCTTGGTGGTGAACTTCAAGACAGAGGCTCAGTTCCACGGTTTGTTCGTGCTGTCCCATCCCGGTAAGCCTTGTTATCCACGAGGAGCCACGCCCTGCGCCACAGGACGCAGATTTGCCATCCCCCACACCGCCTGAGGAGCTTCAAAACCCTTAATTTCAAGTGAATTGTCCATGTGACTTATCCGCAGGAGGGCTTGATAATTGTTCAGCTACATCTCAGAAGCTACAAAATGGTTGTTGTCGACGTGGACTTTTAGAGAAAATACAAAGTGATGAAATTTAAACAAAAACTCCACTGAGTTCATTTTAAGTGGTGTTTTCTTTAGATAAAGAGCGTAGCAACCACAATCCCCTTCTCCACCTCCTTTCTTGCTGCGTAAAAAGTTGAATTTTAAGTCGTTTGTTCAGCAAGCACGTCTCTGTTCACAACTCTTTTCTAGATACTGTAAGAAACCTTTATAATAGGGCCAGAAGGGGTACTGCGCTATGATACTTATATTTCAGACATGTTAACTAATTATCTTTAATAAAGCTTGGCTGTGTCATTTTACTAACTATGAGGCGCTGTGCTTTGAATAGCAATAAGGAAGCAGTCACTCAAGTCCAATGTCCAGGCTTTTTTTAAATACAAAGGATATTTCATTAGAAATAGTTTTTTTATTTGACTCTCCATATCACTAAATTGGTTCTGCATATTTTGCCCATTTGCCAACTAATGTCAGATTGGGCGGGGAACGTAGTTCACTTGATGTCTTCTCCCGCCTTCCTTTTTCTGGGTTTGCGCTCTAAACAAGGAGAGAATAGGGCCAAAATTCAGAAGAGAAAGAGGGTTCATTGTATTTTTATGAGGCTGAGCTACAAGAACCGCCGACCCAAAAAGAATCATTTTGCTATAAATAGTACTTGACAGTTCTGGAAAATAAGGATTTCTTGGTCTTTAAAGGTCCTTTGCACATGTCTACCTTTCTAATAAACTGAGTCTTTGTTTAGACACAATTGCAGGCAATCTAATTAAAATTAGATTCCGTTTATAAATTGGTTTTGCCCAGCTCTGTGGATGCTAAGAGACTAAAGCCAGCTCATAGCTTCGGCGCACAATAAATGCATTCACATCAGCTTTTATTACACTGCTGTGCCTTCCCTGGAAAGTAGCCCTGAACTATTTGAGCATTTCTACACAAATATCTTTTCACAGAATCATAGAGTGGAAAAAGCACTGAATTAGGAATCAGAAGGCACACATCCTAGCTGTGTGATCTTGGGAGAGTCACTATAATCAGTCTCAGCCCACATTCTCTGGGGGGTATGGGGGGTGGAAATGAGGCTGATTATACCAACACTGGGGCTTTGCAAGCAATGTACAGTCAGGTGGTTTGAAAACTCTAAGCTGTCATGCACTCTTAAAACCACTCTACCATTATTCTTATTGGCACTTTTCTAGCATCCTTCACGAGCTCAGTGATTGTGTCAGCTGATCATCCAGGCCTGACCTTCTCCCTGCGCCTCGTAAGGAGTGAGCCGACCTATAACCAGCCGGTGCAGCAATGGAGCTTTGTGTCTGACTTTGCAGTAAGTGACTTGGGCTCTTACTTTTCCTTTTCCGCGGCCTGGGACAACACCTCAGATTCTTAAATGAAAAACATAAATGTCCTCCCTTCTCGTTAAAGGTACGTGACTATTCGGGGACTTACACGGTGAAACTCCTGCCTTGCACCACTCCATCGCATCAAGAGTACCGCCTGCCAGTCACCTGCAACCCCCAAGAGCCTGTCACCTTTGACCTCGACATACGGTTCCAACAGGTGCATCTCTTGCAGTTATTTTCCCTGGACTTCTCCAATTCCACTTTATTAAGGTCGTGGCTTACTTGTATCAGTAAAAAAATGGAAGTAAGGGAGGGAGGGAGGGAGGGAGGAAGGAAGGAAGGAAGGAAGAAATTCACACCATGACTTAAATTCTTGCATGCTGAGAAAAAAGGAAGTCAGACAGGAGGGAAGCAAGAGAAGAATGACGGAGGAAAGAACTGCCCTTTATCTGTCATTGGTTCAGGATATAAAATCCAGAGTTTAAGAGTATGCAAGGGTTATTTATTTTCCCACGTGATCGTGTCTCCTCCTGGAGTGTGCTGCCTTGGAGATTTGAGGATTTTCCCCTAGAGTTCTTCTGCACGTCTTTGTCTCATTCTTGATCTTCAAGGAAAATAAATATCCTGTAGTTCTTGCCATCTCAGAGTACCTAATTTCCATTATATAGTAAAAGAAACATGATGGCGCTTTTTGTCCAAGGACGAAGACTAAGTGTTGGCTTTGCACTGAGCGTGATATGTACAAGTCCCATAAAACACCCTGTGAAACTAAGGGAAAAGAACTCAAGTAATGCTATTTAGTCTCAGTCAAAACATTTCACCTCGCCAGTTTTGCCTTCTCACGAAGGATAAGGCCAGTGTTAACAATTCCCTACGTTAGTTTGGTAATTGCAGTGCAGTCTTCAGGAATCTACACGTGTCCGTGGACAGCACATGTGTGTGTCCGTGAATAATGTATTTGTGCACCACCAGACCAATCGACAAACCATAAAAGGGCTTTTACACTTGGTTTTAGGTCAGCGATCCGGTGGCAGCTGAGTTCAGCTTGAACACCCAGATGTACCTCCTCTCCAAGAAGAGTCTCTGGTTGTCTGACGGATCCATGGGATTTGGGCAAGAGAGTGATGTTGCCTTTGCAGAAGGTATTCGTTTCACAAATGAGACATCTGCTCTGTTTGCCACGGCATCTGCTGTGCTTTGCTTTATTGGGATCATGTTGGAGAGGGGAAATTATCACGTCTGGTATGCTTTTGAGAATATTACTGGGTCTTTGCCACTTTGGCAGGGATGACGTAGGGCCCCTGAAATTGGATATAAGTTACTGGATGGTTTTTCTTCTGGGGAAATTAATATCTATTTCACTTACCTAAGTGACTTTGGGAACAGATCTAGGTTTTTTTCTTGAATCTTCTTTCAAGGTGCATAGACTCAAATTCTGCAGCTACTTGAGACTGTAAATGCCTCCTGGGTGAGGGTTATATCTGTCCTGCTCAGTGGCGTGTTCCTGGCACCTAGCAAAATGGGAGTTTTCTGTGGCAAGTCACAGATTACCATTACTATTAACACGCATGGTGGGAGTTCAGTAATAGTTGTGAAATAGATGATTGACTACCAGGGGATTTCCGCAAACTCTCCTTCAAAATCAAATAAAGCCAACTCAGCTTTTTATCAATATTTTCTTTTTTATATACTTTATTAGTCTGCACCCTGCCAAGTAATTTATTTATATGAAGTGGACTTTAAACCACAGTGGAATTATGAACATTAAATTATAGGCCGAGCCTTGACTGAGCATGTGAGGGTCAATAAATCTGCAGTCACTTGTGGTCCAGTCCCCAAAGTGGTCTCCCCTGAGGCCTGGGAGAGGGGGACATCCTGAAGGTCTTCCAACATTTGACGGCAGATTAGGGAAAAAAGGAAGTACTCCCTAGGGGCATGATGGTCACCATGGTATGCAGTGTCACATGGACGCGCCTTACTGCGTATTAGAAATGACCCTTCCACATCTCTGTTTCAGGTGACATCATTTATGGGCGTGTCATGGTAGATCCTGTCCAGAATCTGGGTGACTCCTTTTACTGCAGCATTGAGAAGGTTTTCCTGTGCACTGGAGCTGACGGCTATGTTCCCAAATACAGTCCCGCGAATGCAGAATACGGCTGCTTAGCTGACTCTCCTTCACTCTTATATAGATTTAAAATTGTGGTAAGTGCTTTGACCCAAACAATGAACTAGACAGATGATCAAAGTTCAATGTTTTTGTCTGGTATTTAAAAACAATAGCATCTTTTCAAATGAAATGAAATGGTGACATTTTATGGTAATCTGTACTTGCACAAACCTAAAGAAACCATTCTGTACTTGCAAAAGTTGGCATTGTCTACAGGACTCCTCATTTTCTTTTATTGCTTAAAGGACAAAGCTCAGCCGGAGACACAAGCCACCAGTTTTGGAAATGTCCTGTTTAATGCCAAGCTAGCAGCAGATGACCCTGAAGCTATTCTCTTAGTGAATCAGCCTGGATCCGATGGCTTTAAAGTCGACTCAACGCCACTCTTTCAGGTGGGCCAGTAATAAGCTACTTACACCAGCTCTGGGAGCACATGCAAATTACTTAAACGTGGGATGATCCAGTGTCTTCTGTTTAAAGGGCAGTGATTGTAATATTGCGTAAGTAATAGTAACACTGAATAAGGTAATATAGGTAAACAACACAGGGCCATAGTGAGCACGAGGTGAGTATTCTGTAAAACCTAGCTAGTACTATTTTTATTAGTGCATTCGTATTATTTTAAGTCTACGGGTAATGAAGACCCTTATTCAGCCCGGAATGTAAATCTAAGTCTGACGTTTCAAAACTCTGTTTTTCTTATTCAAAACTTCCTTCCTGTTGACTTTTCATGACCATCTTTATTAGAGTGATCTTGTATGAACTGCTGGATTCAGAAAAAGAAACGGGCACGGCTCATAAATCTCCACTCTCAAAGACTTAAAAACCAAGACAGAATATCCTAACCGAGCGACAGACGGTAGAAGGAGACACAGGTGACCTTAAACCCTGAGCAGACAAATGAGACAAGATTCAGAGATGTGTTCCCACTGTGAATCCTTGGGGGAGCAAGTATACCTTTTAGGAAATTTCCTGAAAATTGTCCACACAGGATGGGCTGCAGACACAATATCTGTATTCATCCTAAAGAAGGAATCTTAAGGAAGCATATTTGTTACTCTGAATAATTTTTTTAAATGATTTTCGCTGTTAATTCTCAAAGCATTAGGCCCCTTCTAAATCCGGAAGGCCTCAGAGAGCCATCAGAAATTCCCTTCTTCTCAGAGGCCCTAGAAAAAGCAGAAAAACGGACCCCTTCTATGGTCTTATATGTAAATATGCAGCCAGGCGAACCGAAAGAGAGTCCTGAGGGTCAGAAGATCTGAGTTCTAGTCTTGCCTCGGCCACAAGCTAGTTGAGTGACATTGGCAAGTTACGTAACTGCTGTGCATCCTTCTTTACCCATTTTTTAAATGAATGATTTAAAACCGTGTGACAGCTCTGACATTCTGTGGCAAGTCACAGATTACCAAATATTTACCGGCACACACTCCCTCAAGAGCTGCACAAAATATTTTGGAGTGCTTTACACAAAGCCTTGCACATACTACCCACGCAAAAATATGAAGTGTATTAATTCTGCAGACTAAAGTAAATTATCAGTTACTGTCTCTGCCACTATTTCTCTTGCAGGAGTCGTGAATTAGGTCGGTGTGGTATTTAATTTTCTAACAAATAGAGTTGCGTTCCCTAGGTCGCCCTGGGCCGGGAATGGTACATACACGCGATCTACACAGTCAGATCAAAAGACAATGCCAACCGAGGCATTGGCAAAAGAAGCACCGAGTACCAGCACCACTCCGTAGTGAGTCCGGGGAAGCCCCCCGCGATGAGCCAGGGCCGGAAGAAGAGGGAGATCAGGAGCCCACCCCCGCCGGCGTGGGAAATAGGTGCTGACAACAACCGGGGAACAAACATCCAGCACATTGCCCTGCAGCGCACCAACAGGAAGCGGAGCCCCCAGGGGCGAGTTCCTCCTGACGGCGTCCTCCCCCGCGAGCTCAACCGGCCCAGCTCCGACGACGTCAGCCTAGTCACCGTGGTCGGAGGCCCCGCGGTGGGATTACTCACCGTCTGCCTCGCGGCCATCGCAGTGATGATGTGCAGGAACAAGAAGGGCGCCAGGAGGAAGGGCGCTCCGAAGGGCTCAGGCAGCAGCCAGCCCGTGACGCCCCCGCAGAGCCACCACGGCGACAGCTCAGAGGTTTGAGGGGAGCAGGTGGGATTCAGCCTTTGCCTCAAGTGCCTCGGAAAGACGGTAGGAACTCAAATGCTTCTGTCAACGGCCAAGAATTGGGGCCTTCTGTTCCGGAGCTGCTCAGAGGGCCTGACTGTACTCATGAACTTGGATTTGAATTCTGTCTACTCTTTCATGCATCAGAGAACCCATGCAGACCACAGACCACGCCTTTCCTCTGGCCCAGGAGGCAGCAGCAATGTATTCACGTGTACACACAGCCATCGATGGGCTTCTCATTTTAGGCATTTTTCTCTACACAGTGGAGACAAATCTATTCAAAGGTGCTGCAGACTCTCTCAGAAGTTTAAGAGGAGTCTATTATTGTTATATGAGTATGAATCTGGAAGGTGCAATTATCACATGGTTTATTCATTGTGTAACAGTTTATTACTAAAAAGATTTTAATGCGCAGTCTGCAAGAATGATAAACACACTGTTTATTATGACAAGTTTTCGAATAGGTGAAGACAGCATGGAATTATGACCAGGGGTGGCTCAACCCATCATTCACCTTTTCTACTACTACGTGGGAGGGGATGGAAGGAAAGATAGAGGGAAGGAACTCACTAGCTTGGATTTGAATTGTTTCTCATCCTCGTCAGAGCCTCCTTGTTTTATTTGCTTATTTAACTTTAAATTAAACCAAAGAATATGTTAAGTCTGGAAGAGATTGTCGAAGAAAGACTTTCCTGTTACATAGTGAGGAATAGTCGAGTCCTTGCATGATAGTATACCTTATTGGTGCTCAACATTTGTGGGAAATGAGAGGGTTGGTGGCGTTTTGATGATGAAGAAGAAATGCTATAGAGTTAGATTCACATTTATAAGACAATGTTCTCTAAGAACTGAGCCTAGATATTTGCAGTATTGAACCCATCGATGATAATGAGAAATATCATTATAGATGGTGGAGGGAGAAAGTGGTATTTATTAATATCATGTGTTTAACCAAAGTGCCTCTTCTATATACTTTATGGAATTAAAGAGCATTCTGATAGATGATACATGAGGTTAACCCTCAGAGTAGCATAATCACACAACCAATGTCCAGAACTTAAATTGGCCATAGGACATTTTCTTAGCCTTCTAATCAGCCTCTGGTTCTAAAAATGGGAACCTCTGCAACTGTCATTCCAGAGATGGCCTTGGAGGTTGCCATCTTCTTTGATCCAGGAGGAAAGCAGCATTCTTTGACATCTCCAGTCCAGTGAGCTGATGCAGCGAGGTCCCTCTCAGTATCTGAAAAAATAACGTGTAACACTGCTTACAGTGTTAAAAATCAAGAAACTTAGTGAGCTTGCTTGGCAAGGCTCCCATCGCCTTTCTGAAAAAAATATACTCTCACCAAATGGCAGAGATTTCGGTTGGAAAGCGAAGGAAAATGTCAGTAGTCTAATGACCAATCTTCCAAAAGCTAGTGAATGTATTTCAAGCAAAAATTAGGGTCAGGAGAAAAAGAACTGTATGTAAGGGCTAACTAACCCTCAAGTGTTGCCTGAAATATTTTCACTTGCGTTCCTAGCCTGGCCACACTGGACATCCTAGTGGAATGGATCTTATCTGGTGTCCGTGGGCACCAACCATCTCTTTACTGAAAAAAAGGAATCTACGTTGGTGCTGAGAGAGAGGTGAAAAGTGTCCAATGCTCGCCTCTCTCCTTTTGGGCAGCTCTGTACTTCACATTCAAAGTCTTTCAAAGAATATGGTAGACTGGAGTCTCCTTCCATTGGGGCATTTATGGATATCACCTATAACTCAAAGGTCCCCCGGAGGACTTCTATAAAGTACTGTATAGCCCAGGAGTTCATTTGTCAAATAAACCATTGATGCTTTCGTTTTTATCCCCTTTTCTTTTGCTTTGCCTTCTGACAGATGCCTTGCTACTTCTTTAGCTACCTCATAACTTGTCTAGGAATGAGCATGAGTTAAGCTGCTTCAAATAGTGTGTGGACTTTTCATGACTTAGCACTGGGTTCAATTCACTTAGGCTGTTAGAGCAAGTACTCGCAATTGACTTCATGTTCCTTTAGTAGTTTGGATGCTTCAGAGCCTGACTCTCATGCAATCTTGAGCATCTCTGTCACTGAATATAGTAATCCGTGAAGCATCATTACAACAAGTCTGTTTGGAGCCTTTGGGCCACACTGGTTTTATATCAAATTTCACTCTAGCATATATGAATTGGAGGGCTTATAAAATACAGAACATGTCTATCCTTTCTTAACAAAGGGAAGTTTCTTCCTCTCTGCCCATTCCTTCTCTCTTTCTCTCCCTTTCTCTCCTCTTCCTTTTCTTCCTCCCCTTGAAAACAGTCTGTGGGAAATAGGCAGGTGTAGCTTTCTTAAGTACAAAGTGCTTGGATTTCGGCATCATTTTCTTTATTTATTTAATGTGTGATTTTATATACATTAATCATAAAAAAACTCTTTAGTGGAAAAAAGAATCAGGCAAAAATGCTTTATTGTTCAATGAAACAGACCCTTTTCCCCAATATTTTATTTTTAGATATTTATTCTGGTATTATCAGAACAATTACATAAAATAACTTCCCATAGACAATGGGATGTAAGCTATAATAACTCCTTAGATACCCAGTAGCTTCTGACGCTAATTAAAACTATATAATTGAAATTGTATTGCAGAGTGAACCCAAAGCACAAAAATATATATGGAGCCTTAGCGCCTCTCCCAGCACATGAACTGTGAAGCACTACAATACATAATTACATTTTAATGATGGTTTTATTTCTTCCAAATTCATTCCCTCTGTTAACATTTACTAAATGCTCACCTAGGACTAGCCACTTTGAGAGACTGCATAGAAACCAAGATGTCCTCCCTGGTCTCGGGCAGGTTATAATCAAATGTGGCTCTTCCTTTAGACAAGAGTGATCAACGTTTGCATTGGGTTCTGCCCTGGACCAAGAACAAGCCAGGCATGTCTGTGAACCACAACTTAAAATTCTCTCCAGAGCACGGACAGTGGAGTCTACTTTTCATCTAAAAGAACCCCACGTTATGGGTCACTGTGATCACAGACCTAAGGCAGATTATTTCAGATCAATAATTTAATGGAATTGCCCTCACAAATCTACACAGAAAGGGTATATTACAGGGATGTGGGTAGCCTGGCATATTCTTTTCCTCTTAATGGAAGACAGGCCCACTTTATTCCAAGGATAGGATATAGCACATAAATTCTTGTTCCCTTCCATTCACATCCCCAACAGCTCCTGAAGTGCACCCTCCCACAAGCATCCACAGTGTTTGAACGGTATGAGTGAAGGTCAACTAGAATTCCTCTGCCATGGTACTGCATAGCATTTGTGATATGAAGGACCAACTCTAGGCTCAGGATGAAGGGATTTAGTTCTATAAGCAGCAAACCACTTCTTTATCAAGTCATCATACCTTTAAGTCTTTTCCAGGGTACCAGCTCCAAGGTCAACTTCGAAAATGGAAATGGGCCTGCGTGAAAATCACAGAGCCTCTCCTTGTATAAATCGGTGCTAAGGGTTAAAATAGTCCTAGATTGAGAAACAATAAAGTAGCAATAACAGCAAAATGTAATGACATTTAGATTTTTAAAGTTGGAAATTTGATTTCTGCTACTATTTTGAAAATATCTACTTAGCTTTGACTTAGAAACCAATTTAGTCCTTTAAAAGAAAAAAGAATTTTTAAAGATGCAAGTGTTTTACAAATTTGGAATTTACATAATTGTATTCATTTGAAAACAAGGGAGCTATGATTCTTTGAAACTCTTTTGTTTCTTCTAGACAAGAGAGCAATAACAAAAGGAAGAAGACAGGTGTCTTTACTAACTGTAGGGCAAAAGATCAGTAGGGCTTAAGTGTTCAATCAGTCCGATGGCCATGGCTTAGAAATGTGTAATTTGGCAGAGAATTAGAAATACGACTGTTATCTGGCATGCACACAGGCACATGTGCACATAAAACAACCAAAGTTCTCATTTCTAGAAAAAGATGACCCTAATACAGTTTTAAATACAGTGGAGATTTTCAAGGTCAACAGGATGGTCATTTGTGTAAACATACTATTGTGGGATTTTCTTTGACATTATAATGTTCAAAGGTTACTATGTTTTCTTAAGATTTTTCTTAGAATTGATTCCAGTGTGGCCTGGTAATGACATAAAAATTTTCAGAAAATACTATCAATAGGTTCAAAGTTCCCCTCACTGTCTATTTCTCCTTGTTGCCATATCCTTTGCCGTTAAAAACGGAAGACTGAGATTTTGGTAGTTATTTTGCTTTTAATAAGAGAGTCTAAAATAGAAGTGCATTGTATTTTCCTACAGTTTTCCCTGGAAAGATTATACAGAAATTTTATAGATAAAAGAAAGCTCAAGAGAGAACTGAAGTTGATAAAACAGACTATACTAATGTGAGCCTCTCATGAATTTAATTTTATCGGGAAAACAAATCAGACTATTGAACTGGCAGACTTTTAAACAGTTCTGCTGTCTTCCTTATCCTTCAAGTACATTTGTTACCTTTTCCTGTTATCTCTTTGTATGTTGTTTTTTTTTTTAATATTGTGTTTTACTTAAGAGCAACAACATCCAGAAGAAAAAACCAAAACCAAAACCCTGCTGTAGCAATGACGTCTCCTACTTTCCTTCCTTCCTTCCTCCCTCCCTCTCTTTCTTCCTTCCTTGGTTCCCCTTTGGCACAGACTAGGGTTTTTTCTTCCTCTGAGATTTGTTTATCATTCTTCCAGCAATGCTTCCTTTCAGTTTGGAAACCGTTGCCATTTTCACTACGTAATTAGCATTCTCGTTCATCTGAAAGCTAGGAAGTGAGCGCAGCATTTGGGCAGTGTCCCTTCTTTATCAAATGTTAAGGCTTTTGGATGATGGGAGAGAACTCCCTTCAAAAGATCAAAAACATCATATTGAATAATGTGATGACAATCTGTGCTTTGATTTTCTCCCAGTGAAGGTTCAA